CTTTGGTTATAGTAGTACCATACCCACGCATGCTTTTTTTTTTTTTTTTTCTTTCGGAAACACACAATACCCATGCATTTGTGACATAACAGGCAAAGCAAACATAATTAAATGCAATGCAGATCTATGCTGGGCCCATTCCAGAATTGCTCTTTTTCTACATGAGTGAAAGCTGGGTGATGGCCCTAATTGCGGTGTGAAAGCTGGGTAATGGCCCTAATTGCGGTGTCCCCAACCCAGGAAATTTTTATGAAGTAATGAATTTGTCTCTAAGAAAGAAAAACAAAACGGCACCAGTGGTGGAGGATGGGTGAAGGAGAGGAGGACCCAGTTGATGGCCACCGGGACTGGCATAACGAGAACGCCTTCCGCACTGAGCCCTAAACCCTAAACCCTAAATGCTGGATCCTGGAATCAGACTCGACTTCAGACTTGCTCACAACATGCGTACACAGGACTGATGGCAGAATCAAACTCTTCAACTCAGAATCAACAATGAACTTGCACTGAAACTCTGTTCACAACAACTGTACAACTTGCGGCTATGGCCACTGAACACTGTCTCAACCACCAGCCTCACTCTCCCTTATGCACGCAAGTACGAGGATCACCCTGAATGTCTGCACCAACAGCTGGACGGCTATGGCCGCCGTCGTCTTCCTCCTCACAGCTTTGGACGCCATTGTCTTCCTCACTGGCGAGCTATGGCCGCTGTCTTCCTTACAGCCCATTTCCACTCTGGGCACCCGCAGAACTCCACACACAAGAAACCAAGGCAGCTCTTCCGCATGGCTCACAGCCGAGTGAATGAATGACTTGACGCTGCCCCTTTATTTATACTTCTTTGGAGGTACCCGGGCCTGCCTCAAAACGTGTGGGCCTGTACTAAAACGTGTGGCCCAGGGAAGCTTCCAGACGTTTGGCCTTCTGGGTCTAAACGCGTGGAACCCACCGCGTGGTCCAGAACCTTCCCCACGTGCAGCCCCTACCCTTGATACTTGCTGACTGGACTGGCCTACAGGGACCTACGACCTTCTAGAGCCTACAGACTTACAGACTTACACTCTAGGCCTCAGTAGACTCAGACTTCTAGAACAGACCTTCCTAAGCCTAACGGTAACAGACCTAACTCCTAATCTACAGACCTAGGGATCGAGTCCTCCTATCTGACCTACAGACTAGCCTAGGGGGTGGGACAGGTCACGGGATCGAGTCCCACACAGATTACTGGGTCTATGTACAGGGTACAGGTTACGTCTAGGGATCGAATCTCACTCAGCACACAGGGTCGATGGACAGGGCTCGGGCACAGGTCTAGGGATTGCATCTCTGTGTCTGCAAATGTCCGGTCAACTGGGTGAAAGTTCCGTGAAACCGTTTCAATCCCTTGAACCATCAGTACCTTTCACAGGTACAGGTTTCCTATGTGTTGGTAATTTGGTATATGCTACCGTGTTTTGAGATGAATACCGCTGTCAGACATCAATGGCCAGTGGCACCAGGGGAGAAGAAAGAAAACGTGCCAGTGCCGGTTCATTTATTGTTTGACGTGCAGCCTTGCAGGGGAGATCTTCATTGGGGAAAAACAGCTCGCAGTTACGGGTCGTTTCTTCTTCTTCTTCTTTTTTTTTTTTAATACTGGTCGTTAAACATTTATCGTTCAGAGACACAGGTTTCCGATACATTGTTATACCACTGTGCTGTCGGATGAATACTGCTACCAGACCTCAATGGCTGGCTGCACCAGGCAGAAATGAAGAACCGTGCCTGCATGGGCTCATATTTTTTTGGGCGTGCGGGGAAAATAGGCATCGGGAAAAAGAGGCTCTGAGGTACTGGCAACTCTCAAGAGTCTCAACCATAGCATATAGAGGCAGGGCCCAGTCTAGTGGCTCTTAGGCCGAGATAAACTTATATTGACTGACCGCTGGGGCACGGGGAACACAGCTCTAAGGGCCATTATTTTATTTTTTCCTTTTGATTGTGTGTGTGTGTGTGTGTGTGTGTGTGTGTGTGTGTGTGTGTGAGAGAGAGAG